TAGTTCACGTAGAATGGAGTGAGTCTCGTCGATGCGTGAACCGCATTGTTGATCGCGAACTCGACCATGGGAAAGGAACGAGCTCCAGGACGTGAATGACGTGGGCGAAGCTCTGCAACACGTCTCTCAACGACTCTGTTCGCACGCTCCGTCTGGCCGTCCGTTTCCGGATGCGACGCGGGTGGACATCTTCAACCGCGTCCCGACAAGCCGGAAAATCTCTGACCAGAAAGCTGAGGTGAAGCGGGGATCGCGATCGGAAACGATCGATGTTGGCAAGCCGTGATGGCGATAAACAAGATCCAGAAACGTCGCCGCAGACTGCTTGGCGGTGACCGTAGCGGCGACTGGAGCAAGATGGACCATCTTGCTGAATCGATCGACGAAGACGAGTATGCCAGTGCGACCTTGGGCGTCGCGGGGAAGGCCGAAAACGAAATCCATACTGACGGAGGACCACGGCTCCGAGGCCACCTGGAGGGGTCAAAGCGCTGCTTGCTTCGACGGGGAAGGCTTCACGCGCTGGCACGCTTCGCATGAGCGAACCCACTTACGCACCCACTTGTACATGTGCGGCCAGTAGTAATCGCGAGAGAGGGACGCGAAGGTCTTTTCGCGTCCAAGATGGCCACCACTGGGAGAATCGTGAAACTCGTGAATCAATCGGGCGCGAAGATCGTCGTCCAGCGGGACGACGATGCGTGGTGAGTCTTCGTTGTCCACACTGTAAGTCAGCAAACCTTCGTGTAAGCGGAAGCGGCTCAATCGGGATCGGGCCCGCGGGGACAGTCGGCGCCGCGCTGGCTCCGACGGATCATGTAGGAACGAGATCAGCTCGGAGCACGCCGCATCCGACGCGTACGCGGCCAAGATCGCGTCGCGCAACGAACTGGTCGCTGCGACTTCCATCGCAGTGACATCTTCAGCAGAACACACGGCGCACTCGTCGTCGTCTTCGTCCCCAATCGCGTGGCGGCCAAGTTGAGAGTAATCTGGCCGACGCGAGAGAGCATCGGCAAGAATGTTCGTCTTGCCTGGCTTGTAGTGAACAACAAAGTTGTATTCGGAGAAAAGGAAGAGCCAGCGCGCCATGCGCTGGGACAGATGCGGACTCTTCGTTGCGGTTCGCAACGACGCGTGGTCGGTGTACACGACGAAGGTCTGTTCGCCCAAGAGGTAAACTCGGAACTTGAGTAGCGCATAGCGCATGGCCAGTAGCTCTTTGTCGTGTACGGGGTAATTCCGTACCGCTGGTTTCAGCTGGCGCGACTGGTAGCTTACCACTCGTTCGCGCCCTGCTGCGTCGAATTGCATCAAGGCGCAACCAATGGCAAAGTCGCTGGCGTCGCATACCACGTGAAATGGCTTGGAGTGGTCAGGCAGCATCAGGACGGGCGCGGTGGATAAGCTCGTTTTTACCGCGTCAAAGGCAGCTTGATGTTCTGGACGCCATGTCCAAGTGGCATCGGTCTTGAGTAGTTGCGACAGTGGACGAACTGTCGCCGCGAAGTTCTTCGAGTAGTGATGGAGATACGTCGCGAGGCCGAGCCACTGTCGGAGCTGTTTCGCGTCTTGAGGAGATGGCCAGGCGCAGATGGCTGCCACTTTCTCGGGGTCAGCACGGACTCCGTCCTTGCTGACGTAGCTCCCGAGGACTGGAATCTCGGGGGCGCAGAAGATGCATTTCTTCAGGTTGGCGTAGAGCTTGTTTTCACGCATCACTCCGAACACCGTTCGTAGGTGTTGGAGATGAACTTCGATGTCAGTCATGTCGGCGTCGGCATGACTATGAATGAAGATGTCGTCAAAGTAACTGGGCGCGAAGTCGCGATATGGACGCAGCAAGTGGGACACCATGCGGTTAGAGGTGGCGGGGGCGTTCTTGAGCCCCTGCGGCATGACTAGCCATTCCCACAGCATTCCACTGGGCGTGCTGACGGCGGTCAGCGGCACGTCGTCTTCGCGCATCAAGATCTGATAGAAGCCGTCCATCAGATCAATCGCGCTATACGTGGTGCTGCCCGACATGGAGTCAAGAATCATGTCCTTTCGTGGGATCGGCGTTTGTGCCGGGATTGTGGCGTCGTTAAGCTTGTTGAAGGCGTGGACGATCCTCCACCCCCCGGTCGCTTTCTTCACACAGAACGTAGGACTGGAGTGGGGTGACAAGCTCTCGCGAACGTGGCCGGCTTGCCGGCGACTTTCGAAAAAGGCATCGATCGCCTCGACTTGGTCGCGGGGAAGCGGCCACTGTCTGGTGACACAGTACTTGGCGCCAGGCACGAGATCGATCTCGTGTCGGACTCCGCGATCCGGCGGAAGGGCCGCCGGAACCTTGTCGGGGAAGATGTCGATGAATTCACGGACGAGAGGGGCCACAGGGTTACCGGAAGCTTCGAGGGCCGGTAACGATTGTGCAGCGTAGCGCGCTTCACGGGCTGTTTTCGGTTCGGCGCCCGTGGGGCGCGTCTGGGGGTCCGGCGCTGAGGCATCGGTGTCGACGTGGACAGTCGCGATGAACGCGGCGTCGCTAGCTACGAGTAAGCATACTTGTTCGACGTCGCCGTGCTTTAAGTCGCGGAGGAAATGTTTCCAAGAGAGACCGGGGAGCTTTGTGATTGCCGCGGCGTCGCACGGTGGACGTGCGACCTCAACCTCACGGCGACGCGGAAGATCGTTCGAGGCGTGTCCAGCAAGGACTGTGATAGTCTCGAACTCGCTCAGGACGGATTCCTGCGACGGGGCACGAGGTCGGCGGGGGTTACGGCGACGACGACGAACAGGACGGAGTACATCTGGCGATGAGAGCTCACGCTCGATCATTGCGAGATCGGTTGGGCGCCGGGGTATGTCATCGGCGCCGGGACACGAATCATGTAGAACGATTGCATCCACAACATCAGGGAGCTCCAGCTCGACTGCGCGCGGGAACCCCTGTTCAACCGCGAGCAGGAACTCACGCTCAACCGCTTCACGAGGTGGGAGCCACTGCTCACCAAGATGTGGGATACTCAGCTCGACCACATCGGAAACGCCCTGAGGCTCCGACTCAGGACCGGCACAAGTTGCTGGAGCACTGGCTGCGTATGAAGGGCCATCGCTCTCTTCAAGTGCAGGGGTGGTCATGGAGTCGGGGTCCATGACAGCAACGTGTGGCCAGAAACTGGGCGTACCGCTCAGGTACGGCAGTACTGCGTTGATATTGATATCGCGTGGCCGAACAGTTCGGGTCAACCAGTCGATGTGAGGCTGGTGACGCACTAGCCACGGAATGCCGAAGACGCAGTCGAATGAACCGCTCAACTCGATCACCAGGAAGTCGTCCGAGCTGGAGAACCCGTCGAATGCATACGCGAAGGCGACCGAGCGCCGGGGCATCCGACGCGGCTTGCCGTCAGCGTATTTGACGACCATGTGGCCTGGACCTTCGCTGATGCGCGTGGTTGGCGGCAACACCGATAAGCTGTCGGCGTGAACGAAGTTGTTCGTCGCGCCGGAGTCCAGCAACGCACGGATCGGGCGCTGGGCGCCGTCAACGTGAAGACTGAGAATAATCAGTCTCGAGTCGCTGCCGGAAGTGGTGGCGAAAAGTCGTGCGTAAAGCACTGGAGGGCTAGGAGGAGGCTCTGCCACCAGAGATGCATCTCTCCTTCCATTCCCAGTAGGGCGCCCCGCACCTACTGGTTGTCGCCGTTTTTTGGAACGACGACCTCGGACTCCACCGTGACGTTTGCCAGGACAGGTGCCGGCGCGCGGCACACCGCCGCGCGATGTCCGGGCTTGCGACAGCGGAAGCATTTCATCGAACGTTGGCTGCGCGTCGGGGAGCGCGGTGGACGTGTCGTCGACCGAGAACGATCGAAGTGGCGGATGGCATCAATCTCCATCGGCTCTGGTTCTGGTTCGGAGGCCGGAGCCCGACTGAAATCGAAAGCTTGAGATGCCGCGACGCTGTAATCTTCGCGTAGGGCCACCGCGAAAGCTTCTTCCAGCGTAGATGGGGACTTCCGCGTTAAGTAGAAGCGTTGGTAGCCGGTGTTCATGCCGGACACGAAGACATGGACTTGGGTCGCCATGTCAACCGGATGTGTCGTGATGCACGAGATGAGGTGACGTGCCCGCTGGATATACTCGAGCATGGACATCTTGCCTTGCTGCAACGACAGGAAGGCGGAACGCTGGACTCGCTCATCTTGGGGCGGCTCGAACGCGAGTCGCAGGTCAGATTTCATTGCAGCCATCGTGGGAAAGAATGAGGGGTTGACAACGAGTTTGCCGAGGGCCCACTCCTTTGCCTTCCCCGTCAGTTTGGAAAGGAGGAAGCGAGTCCGCGCGAGCTCGGTGGAAAGCTGCCGGGCTTCGACTGCGATGTCCACTTCGCAGAACCATCTGTTCAAGTGGAGGCGACCGTCGCCCTCACCACTATAAGAGGAGACATCGAGCTTGACGATGTCAGTCCTGTTCTTGGACAGCGTGGGAGTCGACACGCGCTGACGGAGGTCAGCGAGTTCACGCGCCATGAATTCGTGGGCGGCAAGGCGATGTTGAGCTTCGGTTCCAGCAGTGAGCAACGTGTGGATGACAGCCTCGCCGGACGCAGCAGCGAGGCGGTGCAACGCCTCCCATTCGATCGAAGAGAGGTGGGGGAAGCTGTCGTGCTCCAGCGACGTGTTGGGCAACTTGGGCGCGTCGGGCATCGGCATGTCGTTCATCGTGAGCGTTGGACGGATGACGAAGTGCTACCAGGTGTAACGGGCTTTCAGCAACCCGTTACCTTACGTACACTGTGCGTGAGGAAGCAGGCAAATTAGACTCTGAGATGTATTGAAAGTTAACGGCGTGGTCTCGGACCACGCCAACCAGTAGATGTGTTCTACAAGCTGATTGGCCATCGCATTGGATGCGATGGCGATGTGTGACGATGGGCCCGTCACACTCAAGGATCACGTCTACGTCTGCTGAAACGGGGTACGTAGCACTAAGTGTACCCACTCTGCGTTATGCTCAGTAGCCCACTCGCAGCGTCGGTAAGCCGCAGAGTAGGACGACAGACGCTCATCTGTCTTGGGCTCATGCTCAGCGGTTGCAGCACCATCGCCTTCGGATACGCCACCGGGACGCCTTCGGCGTTTCTGCTGCGGATCTTGCAAGGGCTCGGCTCAGGCGCTGCGGGTGAGGAAACCAGCGTTGATTCCATTAAAAAATCAACTGCTGACTACATCGTATTTTACTTCAGTGGTGGGCTCATTCTCCATGATATCGGAAGAGTTTTCTTCCCATGTCGGACAGGTTCTAGCAATCCAGGAGTTCATTGTCGCAGCAGTCTTCGTCAGCTCACCACCGCTTGGAAGCTACCTCTATGAGACCCAGGGATACGAAATGCCATTCCTGGTGTCAGGTGTAGCGCAGATTATGGTCGTGATCATCGTCCCTTTTGTCTTCGTCGAATTCTCACTCCCGGAAGGCATCTACGCTGCGGCAAGGACGCGATCCGCTTCAGGATCTAGTATTGCACGATACAAGGACGTTTTGACGCCCACTTGCATGATCTGCCTCGCCGTAACCACCTTTGCGATGTCTTCGTTTGGGCTCATTGACCCGTATTTGGGCACACATCTGCACAAGGTTTTGGGCGCAGAGCACGTGGCTGTTGGCCTGGGGCTCGCTCTGAGCGCATTTGTCTATTTTCTGGGCGGCCTTGTGTTTGCGTGGCTCAGTCGGAATTTCGGCTCTAAGCGGGTCATTATGATGGGCTTGTTGATGCTCGCCGTCGGGTTTTTCTTGCCACGTAGTTTTCCTTGCCTGGTCGGTATAGGATGTCGAAGTCATACTCCTGAAGAGTGAGTGCCCATCGATACAATCTACCCACCGGTGGCTTCGCTGTCATGAGCCATTTCAACGCTATGTGGTCCGTCACGATGGTGAACTTTCTCCCGTACAAATGAGGTCGGAACAGCCTCACCGCCCATACTACAGCCAAACATTCCAGCTCTGAGATGCTATAGTTAGCGACCGTCGGACTGTTGACTTTGGATGTAACGGGGTTACATGGTGTGGAACACACAGGGGTACGAAGTACCCGGAGAGTTAACAAACTCTCAGTACATAAGTTGGAGAGTTACAAGGTCTCTCAGTACGTTGGCTGAAAGCCACACGTTATGCATTTAATTAGGTTTAACTATGCTAGATAGTTAAAGAGATACATTTACCCCTAGGCGGCTTGGCCGCAATAATAGTAAATAAAACACTTCTGGTTTTGAAGCATAAAAGTTAAGCTGTTAACTTTGAGCCCTGGTCTTGGGCTGTAAGTGTCCTTTGGATAAGGAACTTAGTATTAGTGACTCTTTGAGTCGAACGTCTTCCTTTGACGCTAAAGCTACGGCAGCCCCGCTGCACTTGGTAGCACTTGTAGTCAATCCCGCTCCTGAGTCGGTTGACTATATCCTCTGCAAGGATGGAACACCCCGTGGTTGCGAATTTGCCCCCGGCACAGCAGGACGCGCTTACTAAGCTAATGTTCTTGCTTGGCCCGGAGGGCGTGGCTCATCTTGCATCGCAAGGTCCAGAGGCGGTCACCGCCAGGCTGGAATCGCTCTCCCGCTACGAGAACGCGCTCTTGAAGCATGTCCAAGAGAAGATGAGCGCCGCAACGGCGGCGGCGTCGATGACGCGTGAAGAGTCTATGAGACTGAAACCGCTCATGGTGAGCGTAAAAACCTTCGAGGGGAAGGATGGAGAGAATCTCCTTCTCTGGACCCGTGGGGTCGAGATGGCCATCGGATCGGCCCTGCTCCAGTCTGAGCATCAGCGCGTGGCGCTGGCTATCTCCAGGCTTGGAGGTCGCGCTCGCGAATGGGCACTAACGTGCGGCACGTCTGTTGACGCTGCATTTCCCACTTGGGATCAGCTGAAGCAACAGCTTTCGCGCGTGTTCGCGCCGCCTAATCAGGCGTACCGTATCCAGTCAAAGTTCCTTGCTACCCGCCAGGGTAAGAAGGATTTATTGGACTATGTCCAAGAGTTGAGAACTCTTATCGCCGGAATGGCCGCGGACCCTCTTCCGGAACTGGTCAGCGTGACCGTGTTCATGGAGGGACTTCGTGTGAGCGCAGCTCGAACGGAAGTGTTCCGTGTACACCCTAACTCTTTTGAAGAGGCGGTGGATGTAGCATTGAATGCCGAGCACAACTTCAGGTCGGCGCGACCTGGTTGGAGCGCTGGTAGCGCAAGCTCTTCGAGCGGTCCAGAGCCGATGGACCTCAGCTATGCTGAAGATGAAGAAGCGGAGCTTCTTGCTGCGGAGCAGCGCGCCGGCATCCGCCGATGCTTTGTGTGCAATAGCACTAACCACTTGAGGGCCTATTGCCCTCTGCACAAGAAGCGCGAGGCTCCGGCGAGCCAACCCTCCGGGTCATCGCCGGGAAACGGCAACTCCCAGTAGGCGCGGGGCGGCCTACTGGGGAAGAACTGAGTTCTGTTGTGCCTCGAAGAGGTAGAGGGCAACGGGGCTCAGCCCCGAAGAGAGCTGAGCTCTCTTACGAGAAGAGTGTGTGCAAGCCGGGCTTGCTGGTCGTTCAAGCGAGCGTGAAGGGCTTTGCAAAGCCATGGAGAGTCTTGATTGACTCGGGAGCCTCGGGCAACTACGCCCGTCGCTCCACCCTGGAAGGGAGTCAGCTGTATGCTGAGGCACTGGAAGTGCCAACGAGAGATACGATCTCTGTCCGTCTCGCGACGGGGACACTGGTAACCGTGTCGAAGGTCTCTGTCGACCTTGGAGTGAAGTTTGAGAACTTCGATAGCGTGGAACGCTGTTTGGTCTTAGACCTGGATGCGAGGTATGACCTCATCCTTGGCATGGCATGGCTGGAACGCCATGAGCCATGGATCGACTGGAAGTCGAAAACGCTGGGTGCGTCGCACCCTGCTCCTAGTGGAGCTTTGGTGAGTCATGAACACACCTCTGCTAGGAAGCAGAAGCGCTTCTGGCGCGAGCACGAGGCCGAGGCGGCCGTAGTGCTGGACATTGGTATGTCCGAAATTGTTAGCAACGAGGTTGCTGTTTACCCTGAGGGCATACGTGGTGCGGCACGTTATCCGCTGAGCGGTGCAGGTCAGGTCGATGACCAACTGCTGGGTCCTGGTGAGGACGAGCGCGGAGTGGCGCGTAATCCACTGAGTGGTACGAATCTGGTCGATGACCTACCGCTGCGTGACCCGAGGGTCGCGGTCGACTGCGAGTCGAGGCATCATGGGCGTGGCCCAGAAGATGCACACCTAGTTCACTGTGTGAAGGTCGAGGACCTCTCGGCTTTCAGCCGAGTGTCTTGCGAGACACTGTATCCTCTTCGAGGAGTGATGGTGCTGCTGCACCCGGTGGTGGTGACGGAGATGTCACCACACCGCCCTCATCCGGCCGGGCTCGGTCGCGGAGGGAGAGAAGAAGAAGACGCAGGGCGTCTTCGACGTCGGACGATGTGTCCCACGTGATGAGCGGTGAGGCTCCACGTGATTGCTGTGAACAGCTGTACACACTCGTGAACGGAGTGACGGGGGAGGTAGAAGGTGACATCAGCCCTGACACTCTGCCCGCTGCAGATGCTCTGCTAGAGCTGGACGAGATGTCCATTGCCGAGTTTGGCGAAGCCTTAAAGGCAGGCGAGCTAGCCGAGGTGGTCCTGCTGGGACCTGAGGAGGAGTTGAATTCCTCATCCGTCGTGGACGACGCGGTCCTAGAGGACACCAAGAAGGCGCTGAGCGCAAGAAGTGGATCGGCGATCCTCAAAGATCCTTCGAATCCCTTCTACCCGGTGGTGAAGGAGTATAGAGACGTTGTCTCGAAAGACCCACCAACGGGCCTGCCTCCGGATCGAGGCGTGTGTCATGAGATTGACCTGGTTCCTGGAACCAAATACTGCGTAACAAGGCAATGGCCTTTGCCGAGAGAGCAGTGTGACGTCATTGACGCATTCTTCCGTACAAAGCACGAGGCAGGGATGGTGCGCGAGAGTAAGTCTCCGCACTCGACACCCACGTTCTGTGTCAGAAAGCCGAACGGCAAGTGGCGCATTGTTCATGCTTTTAACAAGCTAAATGCGGCCACTATTCCGGCGCAAACGCCGATTCCTCGCAAGGATGTTCTGCAGAACAACATGGTAGGCTGTACGCTGTACAGCGCGCTCGACTTGGTCGATGGCTACTACCAATTGCTCATGAGAGCGAGCGACATTCCGCTGACAGCGGTGAGTACTCCGAGCGGTATGCTCTGGGAGTGGCTGGTGATGCCCCAGGGGCTGTCGAACGCACCAGCAACGTTCAATCGTCTTGTGACGCAGCTGTTTAGGCCCCACCGGGCGTACGCTCAGACGTACTTTGACGATATATTCGTCCATAGTCGTGCCGAGCACGGAAAGTCAGACGTGGATAACAACATTGACCACTTGCGAGCGGTGCTCGAGTGCATGCGCACTAATAAGTTGTATGCCAACTTGGACAAGTGCGTCTTTGGTGCGGAGGAGATACCTTTCCTCGGGTGCTTCATTGCGAAGCGTGGCTTACGGGCAGATCCTGCCAAAGTCAAGGCCATCGTGGACTGGCCGGTTCCCAAGAACCAAAAAGACTTACGCAAGTGGCTAGGCTTAGCCAACTACTTGCACAAGTACAGCGCGAATTACGCGGATATGGCTCGGCCATTATCAGATCTCCTTAAGAAGGATGCACCATGGTGCTGGAACGTCGAGCACGACGGAGCCTTTGAGGCTGTGAAGGAGAGCCTTCTCCAGGCTCCGATCCTTGCGCTACCGGACCCGGATAGTCCGTTTAGCGTCGTCTGTGACGCCTCCGATTTTGCAATCGGTTGTGCTTTACTACAAGCAGACGCCGAAGGGCGTGAACGCGTGATCGCATTTGAGTCTCGCCAGCTCAAAGCTGCAGAGAAGAACTATCCAGTTCATGACAAAGAGCTACTTGCAATGAAGTATGCTCTAGTCAAATTCAGGGTACACCTGCTAGGCTCTAAGCCTTTTGTGATCTTTACTGATCATGCGTCGCTACGCTCTGCGACACAGTCGCCTCATCTCTCTCAGAAGAATGGCAAGATGGCTTTCCCTCTTTTGCCGAGTATAACTTCGAGGTGAAGTACAAAACGGGGGCGGCTTAATGTAGTGTGCCGATGCGCTCTCGCGCAGGCCGGACTACGAGCTAGCTCATGTCACGACAGTGACGTCGTCAGTGCCTGACTTGATACGCGGAGCGTATGCACAAGACGACATGTGCGTAGCGCTGCTACGGGCTCTTGGGAGCGAAGAGTTTAAAGACTCTGACAAGGAATTGTCTGGGCGCTTACGCGCGAGGCTGCATCAATACTCACTCGATGGCGGCCTGCTGTACTACAGCACCGACGCTGAGGATAACCCTCGTGTAGTCGTTCCTCATGATGAGGATCTAAAGTATCGAATCCTCTATGAGGTTCATGATACGCCCGTGGGCGGGCACTTAGGTCGGGAGAAGACCTATGGCTCGGTGAGCTCGATGTACTGGTGGCCCAAGATGTATAAGTGGGTCGGCACCTATGTACGCACGTGTGAGACGTGTCAACGGACAAAGTCCGCGCCGAGCACGGCAGCGCCATTGGCGAGTTTGCCTGTCCCCAAGGGATGCTGGCAGTCCATGAGT